ATCTAAGGCAGAAATTGTTCCCTGTGAGGGGGGTGAGGCCCTGGCACAGGCTGCCCAGAGAAGCTGTGGCTGCCCCCTCCCTGGAAGGGTTCAAGGCCAGGTTGGACGGGGCTTTGGGCAACCTGGGCTGGTGGAAGGTGGCCCTGCCCGGGGCAGGGGGTGGCACTGGAGGGGCTTTGAGATCCCTTCCAACCCAAACCAGTCTGTGATTGCACAAGCTCTGGATTTCCCCCTCCCAGAAACGAACCAAGACGGAGGAACCGGACAGCGCCGATGTCTCCTTCTGCAGCGTCCCGGGGGCTCAACCCCCCAGCGCCGCCCCCGGGAAGAGCCGCCTGCGCTCGGCTGCCTCCGCCCGCTCCCTCACCAGCCTCCCCTCCCGGGAATCCCTCGAGCAGCTGGAAACCTCCTCCCCGCAGGAGACCCCCGGCAATTCTGCGCTGCTGGGCCTCCCCGGCTACCGCCCGGTCACCCGCAGCTCCCTGAGGCTTTTGCAGGGGAGCAGCAGCTCCAGCCTCGGTGCGTGCGAGCAAGGGGGGGCTCCCCCCTGCTTTAAGGGGGTGTCACTTTTTACCCAGGACCCCCCCCATTCTCAGTCCTCCCTGCTTTTGTTTTTAGGCCGGAGCAGTGTCTATCTGGGCACGTGCCAGGATGAACCAGAGCAACTGGACGACTGGAACCGCATCGCGGAGCTGCAGCAGCGGAACCGAGTCTGTCCCCCCCACCTGAAGACCTGTTACCCCCTGGAGAGCAGGGTAAGGGCTGCGGTGGCCCCCCCTTACCGCCTCCCCTTTTTCTGGGGGAGGGGGAGCAGCTGGCGGGTGGCTCTGGGGACCCCACGGAGCATCACCCCTTGGCAACACCTCCCTTTCCCCCCCGCCCCAGCCCTCCAACTCGCTGGGGACCATCACGGACGAGGAGATGAAGACGGGGGACCCAAAGGAGACGCTGCGGCGGGCCAGCATGCAGCCCTCGCAGCTTGCCACCGCCACCCGCCGCAGCACCCTGGCCACGGTCTGGCCCGGCGGCATCACCACCCGCCAGCAACGCAAACGCCTCTCAGACGAGTCCCACCAGGGCCCCGACACCCCTGAGGTGAGTCTGGCCCCACCCCGCAGTGCTGAGGCTGCTCCCCCCAGCCCTGGCCGGGGGATTGGGGGCAGCTCCAGATGTTCTCCAGATGTTGAGAGGCCCCAGGAGTGGCTTTGAGCCTTTGGCCTTCCCTAGCCCAGGGAGCGGGGGGACCCCGGGGTCCTGTCCCTGCACTGGCAATGCCAGTTTGTGTCCCCCCTGCCCAGATGATGCCAGTGCCAGTTTGTGTGTGTGTGTGTCCCCTAGATGATGGTTCCAGTTTGTGTCCCCCTCCTTTTTTTTTTTTTTCCAGTCTAAGAAGCCGACCAGCTGCTTCCCACGCCCCCAGACCCCCCGGGAGCGGCGCAGCTCCCAGGGCAGCCGCAGGAGCGAGCAGCAGCCCCCCCCCAGCAAGCAGGTGAGCTCCTGAGAGAATAAGAGGGAGGGGTAGTGACCCCCCCCTCCATCCTGCCCCAAGCTCACAGTCCTGCATCCCCCTCAGGCCGAGAGGCGCCAGTCGATGGCGTTCAGCATCCTCAACACCCCCAAAAAACTGGGGAACAGCCTCCTGCGCCGGGCGGCTGGGCGGAAAACCACCCCCAAGAGGAACTCCCCCCGCGGCAGCACCCGCCGTTCACCCCGCATCGCCACCGCCAAGTCTCCCAAGGGCAAGGTAAGCCTTGTGCCCCCCCGCGCCCCCCCCCAAAGTGTGGGGGGGATGTGAGAGGTACACATGTGCACCCCAGTACCCTGAACCCCTCAGGGGGGCATTGAGGGGGTGGGGATCGCCTGCTGTCACAGGGCAGCGAGTCCTTGGGGGGTGAGCACAGCCCCCACTGTCCCTTCTCTGCTCTGTCCTGTCCAGGCCAGTCGCCGACCGCTCAAGGACACGAAATTCTGAGGGTGCCTGAGCTGTGCTGCTGCTCCCCATCCCGGAGGGAGTGACCCCCCGTACCCCCCCCAGCTCTGCACCCCTCTAGCCTCTCCCTACCCCCCACTCC